CAGCGGGCGCTGCCGGAGCAGACGCCCCACCTCCGCTTTTCTCCTTAAGAAGCAGACAGGAAGTGCAAGCGACACGGAGGACTCGAGCGCACCTTACCGGGCACAGAGGCTAACGCCGTGGGCAGGCGCGGCTCCCAGCTGCGGAGAACGGGCGCCACCTCAGAAGCCGCGCGGCCTTCAAACTGCGCGCGCAGCGCCGCGATTGGCTACCCACAAGCCTCCTGATTGGCTGGCGGGAGCGTCCCTGTGATTGACTTGCCCACCGACCACTCAGAGTCTGAAGAACAGAAGGCGGAACTGACAGCACCGCCCAGGGGAGGAAAGGCCAGTGGGGCATTCAGAACACCGGGACACACCCGAGAGTGCGGACAGTGTCAGTTCTCTCGCGAAACCGTGGGTGGCTCTGAAAAGAGCCTTTGGGTCCGCCACGAGTCGATGACGAGTCTACTTGGAGCTGGTGTACTTGGTGACGGCCTTGGTGCCCTCGGACACGGCGTGCTTGGCCAGCTCGCCGGGCAGCAGCAGGCGCACGGCCGTCTGGATCTCGCGCGACGTGATGGTCGAGCGCTTGTTGTAGTGCGCCAGGCGCGACGCCTCGCCGGCGATGCGCTCGAAGATGTCGTTGACGAACGAGTTCATGATGCCCATGGCCTTGGACGAGATGCCGGTGTCGGGGTGCACCTGCTTGAGCACCTTGTACACGTAGACCGAGTAGCTCTCCTTGCGGCTGCGCTTGCGCTTCTTGCCGTCCTTCTTCTGCGCCTTGGTCACCGCCTTCTTGGAGCCCTTCTTCGGGGCCGGCGCAGACTTCGCGGGCTCGGGCATGCTGCAAACCTCTGAGTCTTCTAGTGCGAAGAAACAAAGTGTGGGCCAGCGCACGCACCTCGACTATTTGTTTGGTGCGAATGCAAATGAAGGGTTGCAGCGACTCGGATTTTCATTGGCTCATTTAGTGTCTTCCTCTCTGATAGGCTAGCTTTGATCCTGCACTCTGATTGGTTCCTTTTGCATCTCCCGCCTCCGGGACGATGGCCTTTGAACTCGTTACGTTTTACGGAAATTGGAAGCGGGCCTGGCTTTACTGCTGCTTTCTGATTGGCTGCAGCTTGCATCCGGCCACTGGCACAGGCTGCGTCAGGAAACCACAGCAGGGTATAAGTAGCTGGTAGCGCCTCCAGCTCATCACGTTGCTGAGGCTCGATTTGGCAGCTGATCATGTCTGGACGCGGCAAGCAGGGCGGCAAGGCGCGCGCCAAGGCCAAGACGCGCTCGTCGCGCGCTGGGCTGCAGTTCCCCGTGGGCCGCGTGCACCGGCTGCTGCGCAAGGGCAACTACGCCGAGCGCGTGGGCGCCGGCGCGCCCGTGTACCTGGCGGCCGTGCTCGAGTACCTGACGGCCGAGATCCTGGAGCTGGCGGGCAACGCGGCGCGCGACAACAAGAAGACGCGCATCATCCCGCGCCACCTGCAGCTGGCCATCCGCAACGACGAGGAGCTCAACAAGCTGCTGGGCAAGGTCACCATCGCGCAGGGCGGCGTGCTGCCCAACATCCAGGCCGTGCTGCTGCCCAAGAAGACCGAGAGCCACCACAAGGCCAAGGGCAAGTGAGCGCGCGCCGCCCGGCCCGCACCAAAGGCTCTTTTCAGAGCCACCACGGCGTCCACGAAAGGACTGAGCACTCGGTCACAACGCTGTGTATATGAATACTTGTCTATTAAGCACGAAGACACAGTGCTGGGTTTTGCAGACACGGAGACCGGCTCTTGTGTCCGCTGGTCACTCCTCAAGGCCACGACGGCGGTACCTGAGCCGATGCAATGTCAGGGCTCCCGGTCTCCCACGAGGGTGCACCTCGTGGCCAATCACTTGGTCAGCTTCCCCGCCTTCCCAGGTGTGTTAGCAGGGGCTGAATTTGGCACAGGACCCCGGATGAGCCAGCACTCGATGTTGAATGCTGGTGTGTGCAGTCGGCCTGCTGTGCCGCAAGGCCGGCCCCTGCTCCATCTGATTGACATCTGAAATGACCTAATCCGGTAAGTAACAGTTGCTATTTAAATGGAGATCAAAGCAACTTTTTGCTACAGTGACTTAAGCTGGTAATTGCAACTAGAAACTTTAGAACATCTAAAGTGGCAGATTTAAGAAAGTGTTTAAACATTCTTTCTAGTGTTAGAACTAGTTTCTCTGCACAGATATTGGACAGATATAAAAGTGCCTAATACTGAAATCCCTTGCTAATCACTTTTTAAAAGACAAGCACTTGGGCCATCTTCCATTGCCTTCCCAGGCCACAGCAGAGAGCTGGATCGGAAGTGGAGCAGCCAGGACTGGAACTGGCTCCCATATGTGATGCCAGTGCCACCAGTGCCCCCATATTCATTATCTTATCCCCTGACAAAGTCCCTCAAGGGAGTGGAGATGGGATTTTTTTTGGCGGGGGGTTTCCTTATTTTGCTTTCTCTCGGGTTTTGTTTCATAACTTTTATATTTTCCAGACTTTTCTCTATATGCTTGCTGTTTCCATTGTGTAAAAATCTCAGCTTTGGGACGGGCATTGTGGCATAGCAGGTGAAGCCGACGCCTGCAATGCCAGCATCCCATATGAACTCTGGTTGGAGTCCTGGCTGCTCTACTTCCAATCCAGCTCTGCTATGGCCTGAGAAGACAGTGGAAGATGGCCCAAGTCCTGGTCTCCCACATGGGAAGAAACTCCTGGCTCCTGGCTTTTGATAGGCGCAGCTCTGGCCATTGCGGCCATCTGGGGAGTGAACCAGTGGATGGAAGACCTCTCTCTCTCTCTCTGCCTCTGCCTCTGCCTCTCTGTAACTCTTTCAAATAAATAAATAAATTTTTTTAAATCAGGCAAACCTTTATCTTTCACAATATTATTATTGACACTAACCGAGAATGAGGTAATTTTTTGTTAGTCTTGGTTTATTTTTAATTGATTTGACAGCCAGATTGACAGAAGAGGAGGGAGTGATCCTGCTGGTTCACTCCTCAAATGCCCACAAAAGCCAGGTCTCGGCCAGTCTGAAGCCCAGAGCAGGAAATCAGATTGGAAACGGTGCAGCCAGGGTGTTGGTGTCACAAGTGGCAACTTAGCCTGCTAGGCCACAACTCTGGCCACAGAATAAATGTTTCTTGTATTATGTGAGAGAGAGTATTTACTTCTTACAGAGAAATGTGATAAAAACGCACTCAATTTTTAAGTATCATCCTCAGAGTATGTGTGTTTATAAACATGAAGAACAGAATACAGTTGCAAGAGATATTCACGAGCAGCCATTTAGATGATACTGACAACAAAATGTGAGATTCTACATGCACTTGGGATACCAGTTCCAGTAATGTACTGGCGATACTCATGCAGCGCCCTGTGTCCTCTGCCCAAGAAACAAAGGCCATGTCTACTTGGGAAGTTTAGGGGAGCAACGGGGTGAACACACACATTTTTCTCCACAACACTGGAATAGATGTCTCTCACTGGCCCATCTGTGGGCCTCCGTGCCCAAACCTGGACTCTGGTCTCAGAACCAAGCCTTCAGTGAAGAAGGTGGCTGTGGTCATGCGGAAGGTAAAGCATGTGAGGTTTGTTCCATGGCCCCAAATACTGTGGGGCACCCGCTTGCATCCTCATCCTGAGTGTTAACTGACCCCCCCTCCCCCCAGCCTCACCGATGTATTGAAGTTGGTTTATCAGCCATGCTTGCCCAGTGTGTTTGCTAAAACACTGAAGCTGGACTTTTTGAAAAAACACTTTGGTGTACAGTCTGGTGATTCAAGTTCAAAATGGATGTCTCCTTTATTTGCCATCTGGTGGAAGCTGGCAGCAGGAGAGCAGGCACAGAAAAATGACCAGATGGTGCGGCAGGAAGTAGACAGCACACGCTCTGCTGCCCGCCACGGACTCTCATATCATGGTCAGAACACAGGGCTCGTCCCTCCCAGCCTAATCCAGTCCACTTCCCAAAAGCCCCACCTTCAGACACCATAATTGGATCAGGCACCCAGCCTACTCCATAAGCCATTAGCTTTAGTCTGTTATTCACATAAGCCTTTGGGATTCCGACATCTGCCCGAGTTTGGGAAGCCAGATCTGTGTAGTCTGTAAGACCTGGCATATATTTGCCTTTCATGCACATGAGTAAATTTTTAAAGAAACAGCCTCCCCCCCCCCCCCCACACACACTGGTTCACTCCCCAGATGCCTACAAACAGCCAAGGCTGGGCCTTCTCAAAGCCAGGAGCCGGGGACTCATCCCTGTCTCCCACATGGGTGAGTGAACCCATTACCTGCTGCCTCTCAGCGAACACACCACCGGGAAGGTGGAACTGGTTGAAGAGGGAGAACTAAAACCCGGGCACTCAGACAAGGAATGTCTACCGACTCCCAGCCCATCCCCCGCATTTTCACTGGATCTGGATCTCTGGTTGCTGTGGGAGGGTCTGCCGGGTAGTGAATACTGGGGCCTCAAGGTGACTTCTCCCAGGACAGTGGGCTACAAGAGGGGTAGCAGGGGAATCGTCAATGAGGCGGAAGCCAGCCAGGAGTCAGAGTGGGAATGGCAAACAGGTAGGGAGACCCCTCCGGTACCGTGGGAGGTGTTCTCAGTGCAGGTGGGAAACCGCTCGCCCGAGCCAGGAAGCCAGTGTGATGGCCAAAGCGCCCTAAAGAATTCCGGTGTTGAGTCCGGAGAAAAGCAGGCCCGGGCGCTAAGGCCACGCAGAAAGGCCGGGCGCCCCCTACAGGCCCCAGGACAGAACTTTCTCCCTGCTCCGTAAGCCACAACCGAGTGGGAGGACTGGGACGAGCCGACACACGGGCCGGCGCTGCGCAGCGGGAGAAGTGCAAGGCAGACCGTACCCCGCAGCGCAGGGCAGACCCGACACCGCTGCGCAAGGCTGACCCAACAACGCGCCCACCCCTCCCCGAAGCGCGAGACCAGCGCCGCCCACCTCCCTCCCGGACCAGCGCGAGCTCCTTAGCCGAGGCCGTGGGGGCCCTGAGAAGGGCCTTTGGGTGGGGTCTGGGGCCGCGGGGCAGCTCAGCCGCCGAAGCCGTAGAGCGTGCGTCCCTGGCGCTTGAGCGCGTAGACCACGTCCATGGCCGTGACCGTCTTGCGCTTGGCGTGCTCCGTGTAGGTGACGGCGTCGCGGATGACGTTCTCGAGGAAGACCTTGAGCACGCCGCGGGTCTCCTCGTAGATGAGCCCCGAGATGCGCTTGACGCCGCCGCGCCGGGCCAGGCGGCGGATAGCGGGCTTGGTGATGCCCTGGATGTTGTCGCGCAGCACCTTGCGGTGGCGCTTGGCGCCGCCCTTGCCCAGGCCCTTCCCGCCCTTGCCGCGCCCGGACATGTCCGCAGAGGCCGAGAGATCGCGCGCTCTGCGGCGGCCGGCCCGCGCCGCGCCTTTCTGCGCCCTTGGCGGACCGGAGAGAGGACGCGGAGCTCGGAGGGGCGGGGCCGTGGAGAGTCGCAGGGCCGACCGGAGCGGGCTCCGGGCAGACAGCGGCACCGACCTCGCTGTAAGGGTTCTCGTTATCCGACGTTTTTCCGGAATGTCTGCTTTTGCTCCTGACGGCGAGTTTTCCGAAATTCAGTTTTCACCAGCCGTGTCCTGAGCGGTTCGCTCATGGGCCAGGTCCCGCCAGCGTTCATCTTCACGTTTAGGACACATTTATTTCTCCCCTATCTTTGGGATTTTTGGATATTTGATCAACAGTTGCATCTTCCTCCTGAGTTCCATTATATTCTCAGCCAGCAGTAACTTTCTTCTATGAGTTGGCCGTCGCTGGGTGTCAGCGATGTTTAAAGTCTGTACATCATCACCAGGATTTACTTTTCATGTGGACGATTGAGTCTTTGGTTATAAGATCATCACCCAGCCATATCTTGATTTCTTTCCAAGTGATAAAGTATTGTCTTTATTTCTTTACTAGGAACAATTTTTGCCCTTCCAGCAAAAGATGATTTAGGTATTTTGAGTTTAAGCAGAAGAAGGGAAATCCCTTTGGGACCTTGAATATAACTAAAAAATTCATTAGTGAATTGGGGGAGACAGTGACATTGCAGGGGCAGATATCCTTTCCTTTCCATCTTAAGGGCCACAGCAACACTGATAAAAACATACCAAGGGGAATTAGGTAATGCAGCAGGCTTAGCAAAATGAAGACAGGAACTTTCTACGCTCAGCTTCGGTAAAGCACCGACAATCGTGTGGAAATGTAATGGGACAAAAAGGGCCTGACTTAATAGAAGAAAGAAGAAAACCCAGCGAGTCTGGTCTGTCGGGATTCTGACTCTTCGTGGCCTCCTGGTGTGGAATTCCTTCTTCCTGAGAATGGGGGAGGGGGACCATTGTGGGATGAATGTCTTAGATCTATTCAGACAGGTAGGGTTGAGAATGTCAAGGCCAAGTCTTACATGGATTTGGGGAAGGAGTGATATCTCCAGGTTTTATTGCTGTCTTTGAGGGGGAAAGGATTCTGGGTGCTCTCTGACAGGCCTTGGGGAGGAGGCGTTCTGGTCTGCAGCACTGCCTGTGGGGAACAAGGATCAAGACAGGAAGAGTTCAGCTGCTTCCCAGCCCTTCCCAGCTCAAGTTCAAGCACACGGCACGCCAAAACCCCATACTCTCATTTCCTGAGCCCCAGTGTCTTGAAGAGACGGGCTTCTTCGGCTCTGTATGCCATCTTCGTGGGGATCGGGCATTCTACCCCGAAATACGGGGTGTGGCATACTGAATAGTTTGGGCCAAATTTTAGAAGGGCAGGAAAGACGCTTGCAGCCTCTGTGCCTTGTTTCCCGAAGCAGGTCTTAACCTCACGTGAGAGGTGCCCTCTGTGTGCGCAGGGCAGACAGCAGCGGAGGAGAGCTGAGGGGAATGGGTGTGAGCAGGCCTTGCTGTCATGTGCACTTCAGGACTTAGCGCACACTCTGTCCTGTCACGTCGCCCCGCGACTTTTCCTCAGAGCTGGCGTCGGCTCTCAGGTGTCGCCACCTCCTCAAGCCTTCATTTCCTCGTGAGCAATCCCGTTCATGGAAAATGGCTGTTGCATAGACCTGTCTGCATGTCTGTGGATAGTCTGAGTTTTGAAACAGAGGCCCCCTTGAGGAACTCTGAAGGAGGGAGGAAAATATATTTTTCCTCCTCCACAGTCTGTATCTGAAATCATTTTCAGAAAAAAGGAGTTCTCCATGGCAATATATTTACCCGTTTTATTCACATTTTTAATGTACTCTATTCACATTTTTTTCTGTTTGCTTTTCTACCAATAATGAAGTTCCCTACCCCACCCCATCTCTCCATGCTCTTAGAAATTTCAATACTATTACTAAAGTTCAATACCATCACTAAAGCGATTACTGGGGCTCAGAGTAAGATACCCCCAGGTGTGGTGCTCCGCGTGCCTCAGTGCTCTGAACTAAAGAACCCCCGGGGGCCCTCCCGCTGCCCTCCTGTCTCCGGTCACGTTCTCCCCCGAAGCACAGACAGCTTCCCCTGCAGCTCCCTCATCTGCCTTGAGACCAGGTTCTCCGGAAGGAATCAATGGTTGGCAACCCATTGCATCTCCTGGGAAGACTGCGTCACAGAGGCCAAAGGTTCGCACCACAGACTGTCAGACTGTCACCCATGCTTTTTTTTTTTTTTTTTTTTGACAGGCAGAGTGGATAGTGTGAGAGAGAGAGAAAGGTCTTCGTTTTGCCGTTGGTTCTCCCTCCAATGGCCGCCGTGGCCAGCGCGCTGCGGCCGGTGCACCGCGCTGATCCGAAGGCAGGAGCCAGGTGCTTCTCCTGGTCTCCCATGGGGTGCAGGGCCCAAGCACTTGGGCCATCCTCCACTGCACTCCCTGGCCACAGCAGAGAGCTGGACAGGGAGAGGGGCAACCGGGACAGAATCCGGCGCCCCGACTGGGACTAGAACCCGGTGTGCCGGTGCTACAAGGCAGAGGATTAGCCTAGTGAGCCGCGGTGCCGGCCCACCCATGCTTCTTAGGGCTTGTCAGAGACATTTTTGCCTGAGAGACATTTTATCTGCAAACCAGGGCAACATTCATTCACTGCGCATTGTTTCCTGGCATACGCCAGGTTTCTTGAGTCTCAGAAAATTTAAACATGCATACATTTGCCTGCATAGTACACACACATATATAACACATTGTGTACGTGTGTGTACATATACTGCATTCTCTACCCTATCGCTCAATAGTGTGGCATTTGTCCGTGCTTCTTAGAATGGAAACTCCAGTACCAAGACAACCAGCTTCCAAAAAGTCCCGAGTCCCTCTGTGGAATTTTACCAAAGAACCCCTGAGGTCAGTGTTGAAAATCAGCCAATCAGGAATGAGTACTCTTCTGCAACTTTGCATCCTTTATCAGCATAGCGGACCAAAGTGGTAACCTAGGTGGCAACTGTCTCTAGGTAGGATGGCGTTTTGTTTCCTTTGTCTCTTCTGGGCCGTTCTTCTGGTTTGCACTAAAGGTGAGGCTCAGTTTCAGAACCTGGTGAGGTCTAGTGGACAGTACTAAGGCTATAATCCAAGGTGTCACAACTTGCCATGCTCTGGGGTCATTCTGGCAAGCTAAGGAGCTTCAGGATGCACAGGGAACCCTGGAGCCCTCTGCTGAGAAGTGTGGCAGCGGGCCTGGGGAGGCCCATTGCAGCTGCTGACCATGGTGGTGCCAGCTGAGGTCTGGTGTTTTGCATCAGGACTGAATTGCAAGGCCCCAGTTGGCCGTCAGAATAAGTACGAGGCAGTTCCTGCCCATGTGTTAAGACTTTGAGGGTGCAGGTCAGGTAAACAAGAGTTAGGGACCAAAGATCATTCTGTGAAGTCTGTGATGTCAGGGCTGGCATTATGGTGTGGCCAGTAAAGCTGTCATCTGCAGTGCCGGCATCCCATTCAGGTGCCGATTAGAGGCCTGACTGCTCCACTTCCGATCCAGCTCCCTGCTAATGTGCCTGGAAAAGCAGTAAAGATGGCCCAAGTCCTTGGGGCCCTGCACTCATGTGGGAGACCCAAAAGAAGCTCCTGGCTCCTGGCTTCGGCCTAGCCCAGCCTCCATCTCTTGCAGCCATTTGGAGAGTGAACCAGCACATGAAAGTTTAGTGTGTGTGTGTTGTGCTGAGCAAGTACAAATTTGATGGTCCTTTATGGAGGGCAGCCAAGAGTGGACTCATGCCCCAAAGAACTCTTGACCCTGAAGCTTAAAGCAACAGGGTTTATAAAGGCAAAAATCACAAGAGGGGAGGGGGGACACATGGTTGCTAGGATGGGGGGATACATGGTTACTAGAGTCAAGCTGATTTAAGGCCTATGCAAAACTAGTATCGGTTACAACCTTGACAATACACAAATTACAGTCGACATTAATCCAGGTGTAGCCTATCTGTTTTAAGCTTGAGCAATCTGCTAGGGAGATTTCTATGCTCTGCCAAGTGGGGCGCAGTGTACTGTTGCTGTATGAACTGTAGGACCCCAAAAGCGGTGTCCTTTTGTGACGACCCCAGAAACACAGACTCCAGACCAGACGATGCAAAAGGCAGGAGGCAAATTTTATTTCATTTGCGCAAATGGGCCCTCTTCTGCTGCAAGCACCGAGCAAGAGAGAGGAGCCCCGAATAATCATTTTACACAGTTTTTAAAGGGCAAAACCACAAAATTAACATACCATAGGGTGGCGTAAGTTTATTGGGCAACTACAAGGGGAGGAGGTCATCGAGGAGGAGGAGAAACGGGGGCTACGTGCCCTACGTGTCTAAGCTTGGATATGGGGAGGGGGTCCTTGAAGAGCAGAAAGGGGTGGCTACGTGCCCTACGTGCCTCGCGGTTTCTTTGTTAAGCTTGAACAAGCACAGGGGAGGGGGCTTATGTGCGTACCAGGATGTTCTGTCGCCCTTATCTCTGGGTAGTAGCCCTTATCTCTGGGTAGTAGCCCTTATCTCTGGGTAGTAGCCCTTATCTCTGGCTAGTAGCTATCTGCCTTCTCTGTGAACTTAGTTTACTCCCCATTTCCCAGGACTGTTTTATTAAGGCCATTTTATGGCGACTCTCGGCCGCTCCTTTCAGAACGCTGTTATTGTCTGAGTTTTAGATCATAGTTTCAGACTAGAGTCTCACAGTGGGGGGTGCTTTCTCAAGATGGAGTCTCAGGGCCTCTAAAATGGACTCCCTAACTTCCGTGTGTGTGTGTCTCCTCCTAATTCTGCCTTTCAAATAATTCTTTAAGAAAATCTATATCTCCTGGAATAACCATTTTTTTTTCATAAAGTTCGTATTTTACATTCCTAGAGCTCAAGGAGCTGGGGAAGTGCCACCCCAACATCGGCCGTTTTGTCTTTCAGACCGAGGGAGGT